GCCGGTTACCCTAATGATTAAGATGTATGTTACTTGAGTGCGAAGGAGCCAGCTGAAAATCAGCGCAGGAACGGCTTAGTCCGTCCTGCATACGCTGAGCTGGCTACCTTTTGCCACGAATATGTCACCTTTGGAATAAGTCTTTGTTATCGAATTTCTATTTAGTGGCAATAAATGCATTTTCATTTCATTTCATTTCAATTATTGTTTTCTTTATTATTTATACACAGATTTACACATTAAGAGCATGTGCCTTTACTAAACTATCGCATAACTGTTGTGCGATTGTCGATTGTTTCCCAGCCAATTCAACTGCCTAGCACAACTAAAAATCATGTGTTCGCACCTCCATATTAGCTGATAGGAATCAAAGCGAGACTAAACAGTTGTGCGATAGTTTAGTTTCAGCTGTTACGCTCTCGAGTTATTTCAGTGTGACAGAATTGTCTTGGACATTATAATTAAACCCAGATAATGGATTTACTGTGATTTTAGTAAACATTTGCGTTAAAAAGTCTTTTTTGATTTGAATTGAAAATTATAATTGTCTGGTATGTAAATAATTTAAAAGCAATTTACTGTTAACTCATAATTAATATGAAGAATTATTTGTGAATGTATTGAACAGTTGCTCACTAGATGGCGTTAAACTAAAAGTGTCAGGAGTCAGATGAATAATGATGAATTTTAATATTTTTAGAACAGCTTTGTCCATTGTTCGAAGTTATTTCAGTACGCTGCAGCAGCTCAAAATGAAACTGTCAAGCCTCAACCTTGACGTGGGTGGAAAGCTCGAGCTAAATTAAATCTGCCAGATTAAATTTTACATTTACAACAACTAGCTGTTGCTCGCTACTTCGTTCGCGTGGACTTACAAAATAATAGAAAATGTAGCCTATATTCACAGATAAATTATCTTTCTAACGATTAAATAATTTTTAAAATCCACTGCGTAGTTTTTGAGTTATTCCAAATTTAAGTTTTTCATTATTTATTTGTATTAGGGTTTTAAAAGTTTTTTTTGCAAATTACCTTTTTTTATATTTTACAAATGGAGTGAACAAAATTTAATCGATGATTAATTTAATTTCAATCTCCTATCATGTACGTTTTATTTAATCGAACGCTTAGTAATGCGTTATTAATTTGAACATTAAAATTAATATGAGTTGTTTGATGTTTAAAATTGTGTTATTTATATTAAATTGCCTATTAGCTTTTCAATATATAATCAAAATATAATTTAAATATTTTACACAGGCGATAGCGGAGGTAAATTTATTCTTCATTTGCTACTAGCTTTCGCCCGGGACTCCGTCCGCGTGGAATTAAAAAAAAAAACAAAAGTTAGTAGCCTATATGTTCTTCCAGACTATGCTCTAGATCTATGCCAAAATTCCTCTAGATCCGTAAAGCCGTTTAGACTACAAACTCTAACAAAAAAAAACCTGCTGTATCCATAAACTGTATTTTACTACTCCTTGTATACATCATGTATGGATTTAAATAAATCAGTTTTCATTTTCATTTTTCATTTTCATCCATCCATCTAAACTTTCACATTTATAATATTAGCAAGATTAGTAAGATTACCTAAATTGCTTACTATGTTTCTTGTGTTAGAAAAATATATCCTGATTTCAAATAATTGTTCTTCTAAGTTAAAGTTTTTAACGTGACGCTAAAGCCTTTAAAATCACGTACAATAAAACGCATAAAAGAAATTTTAACTTTAACAATTAACCATTACATGACCATTTACTAAAGCAACAGCCGGATAACCTTTCTGTGCAATTATACCTAATAGTATAACAATATTCAAAGACAACAAAACGAGTTCGACAAATGAATTCATAATATTCGGATCACGCAATTCGCGTTGTAAATTCGCCCGCACAATATTGAGGCTCAGACATATGACTCGTAGTGGGACGTGTTTTATTAAAAAAGGGCGGACGTGTCGGCGCTACGAACGTTTTACGCCTACTCTAGATATTCAACGATGAGAGTTGACGATTATGCGTGCTTGAAATAAAGAAAAGAAAACAATAAGAAACCGCATGAATAGAAGATTCCTGTCTCTGCAGCTAATACCATTGGTTGCTTGAGTCATCGGTTTCCGTAGCCGATGATTCACTATTTTTCTTACTGAATTACTATTTTTACCAAACTACTACTACTCTACACTGCTAAACGGATATCGATGACATTTGTCATAAATGTAGAGCATAGTTTAGGCGAACACATAGGCTACTTTCTATTGCTTTGTTTAACTACACGCAAACGGAGTCGCGGGCGAAAGTCAGTTACTAAACATATGAGAATAAGAAAATTTTACATTACATTTGATCTTAGTTAAAAAAAACATTTATTTCAAAGCAAAAATCCGGGAAAATTAAAAATAATAGATGTGTGAATAAATTTTCCACTACAGTGTCGTATAGTTTTCACATCGAATGGTTACTGTCGATGTCAACTGAACAAACTCAACCATTAATATCTTTGTTTCCTAAACGTATGTATTGTCCCAGCAAACATATGTGATATAAAATTTAGTACAACAATAACTTGCACGCAGCAGAAATGTACGCGAGGGGCGCATAAAATTTGAAATAACATCCCTCACACAAATGTTTTCTACCTTCAAGCATTTTTGAGAATTGCTGCATTGAAATTCAGTAAGAACAGTAATAAAACGTGAAATATACGACACAGTTAAAATATTTATTTAAATATTTTTAATATTTACATCCATTAAAAATCAATTTAGTTTCAATTCAGTCCACAAAGAACTTTAGAGCCAGATTAAGAAGATAATCACTATTATAATAATGCGTAAACACACATTTCTTTGTTGCCTAAGATGTCAGCAATTACAACATATTTTTGAATAATTCTTTCTTTAATAAATAACACTTACGTCACGTTTTAGGCTATATATTTTCACGCCGTTAAACTTAGGGGGTAAACATTTTGGATAAAAACCCTAATGTGGGAAAGAGACCAAAAGTTGTTGCCAACATTAAGGATGCAAGATTGCCTAGGTTTGTTATGTCATTATGACATTTGCTATTGATAATTATACAAATGTAAACAATAAAATAAAGTTTTCATATTTTCATGCGGATGAAGCCGCACGGGAACAGCTAGTATTAAATAAAACTCTAATCAAAGTTGAGTTTATTCAATGCATGTAATTTTTTACTTTTGTGTCATTTTATAAAACTCATATAGTAATTTATGTAAAGTGCAGAAGTAAGACAGTTAATGTTAGGAATTATTAACCAAACAAATGTTTATTTGGATAGCAATTAAAGGTATTGACAATTTATCATCGGTAAATAAAATTTGTAGTACATAAAAATAAAAAAAGACATCGACATTTATTTATTGAAAAGTATCAAATTGTAGTTTCGTTTCATCGCTTTCTGTGGATTGAATTTGATTAAAAACTGGTTTTAAAATTAAATTAAACCCACAAAAGGCACCTTTTAGTGGATAAAAGTTGATCTGACATTGTTACGTTCACTTAATAATATCGGCTTAAGGGTCCGTCTTCACGGTGCGGCTATTAACACCGGCATAATTATTTTCAAAACGCGACAGCAGCTTCGTTCGTACTATGGCTCCGAATCTCGTCGGGAAGCTTCGAACGTCCATTGATTTGTGCCGAACGCTGCTAACACCCGCAATCTCAACAAGTTTTGCAGTTTTCGGACATGTTGCGGGTGCAAATGAAAATAAATTTTTACATTCATGCTTTTACAGTTGTTAACATTGTATTTTGTGTTTTAAGAAATACAAATCGTTGCGTCTGGCCGAGAATAAAACGTATAGTGTGTATTAATCCTTAGCTTCAGTTGGCGCTTCACTTCGTTGTCAATTATTAAAATGCACGTTGAGTTGCATTCGGAAAAGAAAGGAACAAACCGAATATCAACTTTGTTATTCAATTTTGTACTGGAAAGTCAAAAGCTATTTTGGTACGGGTTTTGTAGACTTTTGACTGTTTTAGTGCGGGCTTTTTTAAAGTTCCCGCGTATCGGGAAAGTTATTTGTTATTTTGTTCTACAAATATTCAAAGTTTGATTTTAGCTTGCATTGCTTTTTAAAAAGTTTCAAGCTTGTGATTGAAAATGTTGTTATTTCTAATAGAACCATTAGCTTAAAAATTGGGGATTTTTGATAAATAAAATTTCATAGGTTATATTTTAATTATGTATTTAATTAATACATTATTTTTTTTGATTGATGAAAAGTAACTATTTTCTAGTTTGATTCAATTATCAATTTAAGGGACATTTTTCCATAACAATTTATAGGTTATATATCTAATGATTTTTGTTACAAAATATAGGAATTAAAATGTGAACATCATGGAATTGAAAAAAATTGTGATATTAATAAAATAAATATATCGTTTGATAGTTTAAGTTGATGTTAAATCGACAATAACTTTTCTCTTATTTTAAATATGTATTTTGTACGTTTTATTCTATAAAATACATTTTTTTTCATCAGATACTGACATTCAAACTTAATAGTCATACATTCAAGTTGCGTAAATTAAAGTTAAATTTCGAACTTGTAATTGAACAATCTTACTAATATTATAATTGTGAAAGCTTAGATGGATGGATGTTTGTTAGAGTTTGTAGCCTAAACGGCTGAATGGATCTCGATGAAATTTGGCATCGACGTAGAGGATACTCTGGAAGAACACATACGCTACTCATTTTTGTTTTCTTTAATTCCATGCGGACGGAGTCGCGGGCGAAAGCTAGTTTTTAAACATCTACAATTGAGACATGATTGCGAACATAAATGTATGCCGTAATAATGTAAAATGTGGCTTAAAAGTAAAATGGGCAGTGAAAGATGAATTTAAATAATGAAATGGTACAAGAGCACAGTTTTTGTAATAAGACTTTGTGAAAACAATCGATTGTTATTTTTGTAATTAAGTCATAATTACTATTATCATACCAACATTTTTTTAGGGCTTTGACCTTCAATAGGTCCTTAAATTTTATAGTATTTTAATTTTGTATTGTTTAAAATGTCAGTTAATTAAGTTGGAATAAATGATGTTATTATGTTTTTTTAAATAAAGTCTTGAAACTGTGCTCTTATTAATGTGTACAGTTAACATTTTTGAATAATTTTCATATTCAATAGGTGGTTTTTTTATCGTAGAATGACACATCCGTTGAAAAGAGTTACATCTCTCAAGGAATCTCTAAGATATGTAACTCTTTTCATGATGTGGGACAATTTGGTGACATTTAGTCATGTTTATAGTAAACTCCGTGTTCTGGAACCTCCACTTTTTTGGGTTTCGGTACATAAGGGTTCTTCAATGGATCTGCGTTTAATCTGAAATAATTTGAATTTGAATTTTAATATCAAGTATTACGCTTTTCAATCCAATAAAATACGATAAAAATCACCTATATTCTACAACTTTTCACGTAAAACATAGTATTCACTCGTTTGACTTCTTTTTAATATTTAATGGGAATGTTTGGTTTGGTGAAATTTGGCATAGACTTAGAGAATAGTCTGGAAGAAGACATAAATTACATACTTTTGTTTTTTAATTTCACATGGTCGAATTCGCGGGCGAAAGTTAGTGAGATACTTTCCGAACCCACTTGTAATATGACATAATAGTCGACGATATCTTACCAAGTCTAACTTAGGTCTTTGAAGGTACTTACTTGTAGTGTTCAATAGCTTGGGAGCAGTCTACATTGTACCACCAATCGCAAGCAAACTTGGTCTGGTCGAATAGAGTGCCGTTTGTGCAGAGGAAAGCCGCCCCTTGGTGACCTTCACGACCATCATGGCACACGTGGTAGGCCTAGAAACAAAAAGAATGAAACTTTAGTAGAAGATAGAAGATTTCGCTTAAATCGCGAAGTGAAAATATTACTGCAGAGTTACAAGTTGCAGATATGATGGACAGAGGAGGGGATATAAAAAAACAGGATGTTTCTCTTTCCTATAGTTCCCCGCCCAAGTCAAATTAGATTCATCTCAAGTGTTTTATCGAAAATCAAAATTTTATTTTATTATAAACAAAATTAATCGTGTAAATTAAAAGATTTCAAGAAAATAATTTGTAATTTGATTTAATTTATTTGTAAGTTGGAACCTGAAAGGGAATCCATTGCGAGAAACGTTTGGTTTGAGAATTAACAAATTGTATTTAAATAAAGCCCTCCAAGTTGTAATTTAAGATTATGAAGCTGTAATAAACTGTAGGTAAGTCACGCCTCAAGTGAAATTACTTTAACTTATTCAATTTAAACTTATTCATTGCGTTTAAATTAAGGGAACTCAAGTATTTTACATTAAAACATTTATTTCTAAACACATAATTATTTAGACAAAGTGATTTAAAAAACAGTAAATGGTATTTTTTTAAATTGCAATTAGACAAAAACAAGGAATAATCCACATTATCTAGGCTAGACTCTAGCCCCTCGATGAAGACATACATATATGCTAGTTGGCAAAAGGTTAGCTCCCCACAAGGGTGATATGCATAAGGCATTTCCCATGGTTAAAAATTATACAGATAAAAAGTTAGCTCTGTACCTGGCAACCAGTCTCCACATTAGCATACATCCCTGGGTGAACAGGCACGTGGGCACATGAGAACCGTGTGT